ATAGGTTTTTAACATTTCATACACCACACGGTCAGAACCTGGGGCAGAAGTACTGCAGGAATTTAGAGACGTCTGCAGCTCAGCTAGACTGAAAGCTTGGTTATATGCCTCGTATCTAGTGCATTTGTGTTCGAGTTTCTGCTTTTCTATTTTTGTTCTGTATTTTTGGAAAGTGTCAGTATAGTGGGATGAGCTGGAAACCTATTCGAAGTGTGCACCGTGGAAGTTTGCCTGATCTTCCAAGGTATCACCCTGAGTGTTTACGAGTGGAAGTGTGTGTACTTGTTTTCCTGCTATCCTACCGACCATGTTACAGACTTTAGCCTCCTGTGTGTATGAATTGATCCCTGACAAAAACTTCTGCCAGCTTTCTCTTCTGGCCTGCCGACGCGTTCTCCTGCCTTTGAGGCTTTATTTTCTTGAAGGTGTCAAGATTTTCGGCTGTCGGTGAGTTCCGAAGCAAACTCCAAGCTCTGTTTTGCTGTTTGCGTGCGTTTTGGCATTCAGAATTCCACCATGGCGCACGCCGTTTTCCAGGGTGTGCATTTGTTTGTTGGATGCATTTTGTTGCAGCATCAATCAAAAACGCTGTGAAGTAGTTGACAGCAACATCAATGTTCAAAGTACATATGTCATTCCAACCTAGACGAGCGATCGTATAAAACTGTTTCCAGTCGGCTTTGTTTATGAGCCACTTGGGAACACGTGGTGGACACTCAGCTATTGTGGTTGTGCTCAAAACTACGGGGAAGAGGTCAGTTCTGTACAGATTACTGACGACTTTCCACTAGAGTAGAGGCACAAGAGATGGAGATACTATGCTTAGGTCTATGGAGGAGTAGGTGTTATAAGCGAGATTATAATAGGTTGGTTCTTTTCGATTTAGGAGACACGCGCTCCACGAGAGTGGAAATTTTGCGTTGACTACTGTGCCTTGAACAAGATAACCCGCAAAGACGCATTTCCCCTGCCACGAATCGACGACGCCCTTGACTGCCTTCATGGCGCGCTATACTTTTCATCTATAGATCTGTGTTCGGGCTATTGGCAAATTTCTGTCGACGACTTAGACCGCAAAAAAACTGCCTTTGTCACACCGGACGGCCTTTATCAGTTCAAGGTTATGCCTTTTGGACTGTGCAACGCCCCGGCAACCTTCGAACGTATGATGGACTCTCTCCTCCGTGGTTATAAATGGTCCATCTGCCTTTGCTACCTCGACGATGCGATTTTTTTTCTCCAGCATTTGAAAGCTACCTAACTCGTTTGTCGACCATTGTAGCCGACTTTCGTGCATCGGGACTCCAGCTGACCTCGAAAAAGTGCAATTTCGACCGCTGAGAAATCACAGTCCTTGGTCATCGTGTAAGTGCTGCTGGCGTCCAACCGTACCCTGACAAGATTAGCGCTGTCAAGAACATTTCTCTGGTTTCTACTACCAAAGATGTTCGTTGTTTTGTGAGCTTATGCTCGTACTTCCGACGCTTTATACGCAATTTCGCTACAATTGCATGACCACTCACTGATCTTCTCGAAAACAATGCGCTCTTCTCGTGGGGCCAAGACCAAGCAGCTGCGTTTTCCACGCTAATCCATTTGCTCACTTCACCACCAATATTGGCTCACTTTGACCCGTCCGCGACGACTGAAGTTCGCAAAGACGCCGGTGCTCACGGCATTGGCGCCGTTCTCGCTCAACACTAGGGGGCCAAACGCGTGTTATTGCGTATGCCAGCCGCCTTCTCTCCACATCTGAGCGGAACTATTCGATAACGAAGCACGAGTGTCTTGCGTTGGTATGGGCTGTAGTGAAATTTCGCCCCTACATGTATGGCCGGGAGTTTTCATTTATTACGGATGACTACGCTCTGTGTTGGTTGTCGTCGCTCAAGGACCCAACTGGTCGCCTAGGTCGCTGGGCTATATGTCTCCAGGAGTATAACTTCGACGTAATTTATAAGTCTGGCAGGTTACACCAAGATGCCGATTGTTTCTCACGTTATCCGGTGGACCCTGCTAACTTTGCTGTCTATGAGAGCGATTCTTGTGTGCTCGCCATATCCGATTTGCGCGACATCGGCACAGAGCAGCGCCGGGACGCAAACCTCAAGACGGTGATTGAGCGAGTATCTTAAGGACATTCCGACCTTTCGCTCCGTCAATATGTCCTCCGCAACGAAATTCTCTACCACCGCAACATGAAGCCTGATGGCCCCGAACTTTTTGTTAGTTATTCTCCGACACCTCCGTGCCACCGTTCTTCAGCATCTGCATGACGCTCCGACTGCAGGACACCTGGGGTTTTTACGCACCTATCACCGTGTGCGGCAATGGTTCTTTTTGCCTGGCCTGTATAAATTTGTGCGCCGATATGTCGCTGCTTGCAAGCGCTGCCAGCATCGCAAACATCCTGCTATCCGCACGGCTCGCCTGCTCCAACCTATCGATATTTTCCCGGAACCATTCTTCCGCGTTGGCCTCGACTTGCTTGGACCTTTTCCAACGTCCGTTTCAGGCAAAAATGGATCACTGTCGCAACTGACTATGCGACCAGATACGCTATAACTCGTGCCTTATCAAGTAGCTGCGCTACAGACGTCGCAGAATTTCTACTGAATGACGTCATTCTGCGGCATGGGGCTCTGTGCCACCTTCGGACGGATCGTGGCCGCTGCTTTCTCGCAAAATTTATCGACGAAATCCTCCGTAGCTGCTCTACCGAACATCACCTTACTACTGCCTACCATCCCCAGACCAACGGTCTCACAGAGCGCCTCAACCGAACTCTTAGACATGTTGTCCATGTACGTCTCTGCTGACCACCGTGACTGCGCAATGCTCCCGTACGTTACGTTTGCGTACAATTCATCAAGGCATGACACCGCCGGCTATTCTCCGTTCTTTCTCCTGTACGGCCGCAGCCCTGCGTTGCCATTCGACACACTCCTTCCTTTTGATACCACCGAACCAACGGCGTATGCTCAGGACGTTGCTTCTCGAGTCCGCGTCGCTCGCCAAATCACGCACACTAGGCTCACTGCTTCTGAGGCCTCACAAAAATTCCGCTATGATGACTGGCACCGCGACGTTGACTACTCTGCTGACTCTCTCGTCCTTCTTTGGACGCCGCATCGACGTGCAGGCTTGTGCGAGAAGTTTCTCCCACGATACACTGGGCCCTACAAACTTCTCCGCAAGGTCACTGACGACTACCTCATCACTCCCGTTTAACCACACTCTTCTGTCACACCACCTACTGATGTTGCTCATGTTTCGCGAATAAACCGCTACTACACTGCCAGTTCTGATTGACTTAGCGGTGCCGTGATGGCGCTTCGTCCGCCGGGGGTGATGTTACGAGGGAGCGGGCATGGCTCCACCGTCGTAGACGCATCGATGAAGAAGAATCGGATTCGGCGCGCGAGATCCTATAAACCCTGGGGTGTCACACCTACCTGTAAATATTGCAAATACACTTGTTTCTCTCTATCGTGTATTTTTAATCCCCGTAACGATATATAGACAATTCTTCGTAGCTGCCACTAACTTCGTGTGAGGGAATATTCATACATATATCTTTATTACTGATGACTATATTGAATGAATTAGGCTTTATTTCACTGAATTAGCGCATATTTTCCATGGTAAAAAATGCGCAAGCTATAATTGCATGCATTTATTATTTTTATTTTTGTTTATTTTTTATTCAATGTATCTTTATAATTTATTTTAACTTTTTATTTTAAGTTTTCATTTTTTATTTTTAGTTCGTATATTTATTTTTATTTGCTTTTTTATTTTCATTATTGTTATTAATTTTATTATTCATTTTGTTTATTTTTTATTTTTATTTTATCATTCCTTGCGAAAACGGTGGACTGGTTTAATTTAAAGGAGAATAAAGCTTAAAATCACCGCTTCCTCCTCTGTTTCCACGCGTGCTGACAGCCTTTTCCCATCCCGTGCAAACTACGGCTGGTGAAGACAATGGTGTGAATGTTATTTTTCATGCTCGAAACATTAAAGAGGCTTATACTGCAGTGCATAAGACGATCACATAACCTTACAAATGATCATGCGCAAGCCTTCGTGAAAGTTTCATGGGCATAACTCACAGCATATTTCTTACCTCTGCTCACTCTCGCAGGCCACATTGTCGACAAACTTCTGGAGATCCTATCTTCAGCCACGTGGGTGAAACCGCATGCCGTATCATCAACATATTTCACATTAGGAAAAACTCTGATCCTTGTTCCTCAATTTCATTCATCAAACCCAAGTATTGTGAAGTCACTCGAATCATACATTTTTGCACCAAAAAATGAAATTGTAAACGAACACATTGGATTGTCTTAGAGCATATATTTTAAGTGTGCAATTAACCAATGACTTCTTAGGTTGGTGCGCTGTCCCGTGTTATTTGTATCGCTCTACTGTCTTAAGCGCCACTTCAGAAACTGTAAGTAACTCACGAATTCTCAGATCTTCTTCCCTCGTTCTCGCTCAGAAAAACACAGGAAACACAAATTTTACACCAGAAGAATCGTCTTCCTGGTGACGTTGTGGATGCAGCTTTAGTAACCCCATTCTTAGCGAAGCTAACCTGTAGTATGTCTTCCCATCACATCCTCCTCATTCTGTGATCGCGGCACAGTTTTTTGTTTCTTTTTGCTTGCTTTTATGTAGTGTTATTCACAATGACGTATGCATACAGCTTGTGCAGTCGCATAACATGCATTGTATTATATTTTTATACCACGTTTCAAAATGTGCGTTTGCCGCCCATTTATAGTGTGCGTAAGTTATTGAGAAAAATTTTAGTGGTATTACCTGTACTTATGTGTTTTTCCACTCCTGCTCATGCCTCCCATTTACCAGCCAGCTGAAAGCACAAAGAAAACAAAAACAAAAACAAAACGGGATTCTGCAACGGGCTGGCTAAGCTTTGTACTTTAGGGACACTTTCGCTGACGCGTGATAGAGAACGAGCGTGTATTCACCTTTAGATAACGCTTGGCGACCACCCGGTGAAAGCGGCCCATGGTGAGTGGTTTGGGCGCGCGCAGCAGCACGGGGCCTGAGCCGAGGTTGTACCGGAACTCGAGGTGCCCGTCACGCAGGGCCAGAGAGACGAAGTCACCGGCACCGGAGGTGGTCTGGCCATTGTACAGAAGCAGGCCGTCGGGCGCGTCTGCCTTGAGCTCCAGCTCGAGCGACAGACCCGTGTAAGCTTGCAGCCGGTGCAGCTCCAAGAAAGAGCGGCCCGAAAACTGCGGCACGCGCAGAGGCTGCGACGGGGTCTCCAGGGGTGCTCGTTCTTCGTCTCCCCTGATATCCTCTTCCTCATCCAACGGGGGACGGCCTTCCTGGGGCTCTGCGCAGTTTATGTACAATCACTGCTGGCCGGCACAACACCACGTATCATGCACTCTGTGAACGCTTGGGCTCCATCTGCCTTTTTTCTGATGCTCATTTTTTCATTGCGAAAGGCGAAACAGGACAATATCGTGCGATAGTAGTCAAGACAACCATAATACTAATTCTTAGTGAACACCATTGTTACACTTTGGTGGTCTTAGTAACTAATTTGTTTTAATTACCAATGCAAACAGCTCAGATAGCTCATCCAACAAAAAAGTTACCATCGGCATTGGCATGAGTTACGCAGAATTTATTTACCTATTTATTTATTGACCTATTTACTTATACAGTACAACTAGTCTCTAGATGAGGCTGTATGCAGGAGTGGGAGCAACAAGTACAAATAGAAATGAACGAATCAAGATAGTGTAACGTGAAACGACAAGAACAAGAAAAAGAAACCTAAGTGATCCATCTGACACACGAATTGGTATAAAAAAAGTTGACCTTAATGTCGACATTGAAGTCAATGGTGGCCCAAACGATTAGCGGTTGCTCTCCGGGGCCCCTGAGGCTGGCTTCTTGAAGGCGGTGCCTTCCACTTTGGCTAAGCCATGGACTTCCACAGGCGGTGCCTTCCACTTCGGCTAACTCATTGACTTCAACGTCGACGTTGAAGTCAATGGGTTAGCCAAAGTGGAAGGCATCGCCTTCAAGAAGCCAGCCTCACGGGCCCTGGAGAGCAACCGCTAGTCGTTTGGGCCACCCTCGGGACTACCTTGAGATGTAGAGGTTGGACGACACACACAAAAAAAAATGTAGATCGTGCACTCACAAACGGGGCCTCTTCTAGGCTTTCGAACCATTAAAGTTCTGCAAGTCGTCAAGCTTGTGGACGGCATGGCTAGGGGATTGTGGGAGTGTTGACATTTTCTGTAAAGTTGTTTGCGCCGCGTAGCGCAGGTGTCTCGCACAGAAGCCAAACTTGGGGAGTGACAACCGCCAGACAATAGATCGCGTTGTGTTCGCGTTGAGTTCGGGCTGTCAAGGTGGATGGACGTGTTTTTTGAGCGCTCCGGATCAACTGCGCAGATAAGTGTTTTTGCATGTTTTGAGCTTATCTTTATAATTATAAGGCAGCGGTTGAAATCTTCGTAGCACTTATTTTATGGTACGGCTTTTTCGGGGGCCAGTCACCAGGTATTTATTAGTTAGTGCAGGTGTGTGTGTTTGAATTTTTTTTTGTTTTTTTCTTTTGCCACCCCGTGGGGAAGGTGCGCGTACATTGAACACGCAAATTTTTGTAGTAGAGCTTAGACTTTCTTTTTTTTCGTACTGCAGGGCTCGAGTTTAGTAATTATCGAGTATAGGGACAATTGGTGTCAGAAAGGCATGGTTAAAAAAAATGTAAAGTGTTCAGGATGTGGAGTGGGTTTAAAAGTGAACCCAAGCGTAGAAGCGGATGGAGAAGAGGCTGACGCGAAGTGTAGGCAATGTGAGATCGAGGAAAAAATTAAGAAAATTATGGTTGCCCCGAGTGAACTGCTGATGAGAATCTCCGAGCTCGAGACTGCGTTGGTGACAGAGCAAGAGAAAACGAGGGCAATGGGAGAAAGACTGAAGTCCGCCGCGGAAGCGCTAGCGAAGCTGAACAAAGAAGCGACCTACCGAGAGAACAGTAGGGAACCGGCAACCAGAACGGTAGAGAAGGAAAAGCAAGCAAGTTTCGTAAAAAACAGGTTTAGCCGGTTCAACTGTCGCAAGGCCCAGCTTCAGCGAGGTAGTGGTGGGGCAGGGAGGGAACAAAGCAGCCGGCGTCATAGGATGCAAGTAGCCCCCAGGTGCAGAACGCTCCAGCTGAAAAGTCACAGCATGTGATAATCGCCGGGGACTCGAATTTAAATCGATGCACAGAAGCCATCAAAGAGAGGGTAAGAGGTGACAAGAGGGTTGCAGTAGGGGCGTTCCCAGGACGCAAGCTGGAAGCAGTCATGAGGCAAGCGAGCGCAAAGCTCAAAACGACAGCTGATAGACGAAACCTCGTGATAATTTCAGGCGGTTTAAACGATGTCTTAAATGAAGATACAGCAGAACTAGCAGCCACACTGGCGAAAGGCGTCGATGACATGCGCGCCACTTCTCCTAAGGTACAGGTAGTGATATGCACGATACCGGAGGTACCGGTGCGTGATAGCAACCTGCAAAGAGCAGTAGGTCAACGCAAACCAAGAGATATGGCGGATGAGTCGAGAGAAAGGCTTTGAGGTGGTGGAAATAAACAGAGAGGTGCATAGGTGGAGGGGGGGGGGGTTCAACAAGACAGAATTCACTTCGATGGTCGGCTAGGCCATGAGGTGGGTTGGCGACTTGCAGGACGAGCAGTAGCTTTTTTGGGGGGCAAGCGAGCCCTTCGGGGTGCAGGATAGCTAGTAACGAGGAAAACAACCAGGGAGACTCTTCGACAGGTGGTATGGACAGATACGATTCCGAAGTGGCACCAATATCTAAGATAGGTAGAGTCCGGGGCACAAATAGACGTAGCCACGAGCGCCGAGCCAATTCAGACATAGGATATATTAACATTCAGGGTGGTAGGAACAGGCTGAAGTGGTCAGACATAGAAGAACAGCTAAAAGTAGAGAGGCCGATGGTATACGGTTTTGTAGAAACACATCTCAGGGACATGGAACAACCTCCGAACAATCCGGGCTACGCGTGGGAGTATTGTAATAGAACAGAAGGCAACAGAAAGCGGGGAGGTATTGGGGCATTCATTCATAAAAGTACAGACTGGCAAAGGGTCAAGCAGGAGTGCAAGGAACATTTATGGCTAAAAGGAAAAGTGGCAGGTCAAATGACACTCCTTGGTTTCGTGTACTTGTGGACGGGAGCAAAGGCAAGAGAGGAAAACCAGGCAATGGTAGAGTGTATATCAAAGGACATTCAGGAGTTAGGAAGAAAGTGCGAGATAATTATACTAGGAGACATGAATGCGCTCATAGAAGATATAGATGGGTATACCGACCCGACAGGCGAAATGATCATGGATATGTGTGGAAGGCTTGATTTGATCATTTGCAACAGTACGGAGAAGTGTGAAGGGCAAATAACATGGGAGGTAAGAAGGCTTCAGTCAACGATAGATTATGCACTGATGTCACATAGGAGGTATGATAAGCTCAGGGGAATGCACATAGATGGAGGTGGCTCCAGAAGTCTGGGTAGCGATCACAAACGTATCAAGCTAAGTTTTGGAAGAGCAGTGAAAGTGGGAAAGAGACAAGATGAGCAACTACAGAAAAATTTTTATGCGGGTTGGCAAATTAAAATAGCCACTAAACAAATTGAGAAAGTGATCACGGAGAATAATAAGACAGTGTTGACATACACGAATCTAATTAGACTCTTTGAGCTAGAGCTTGCTAAGACGCGTGACAAGTCACCCCGGAAAACAAGACACAAACCAAAAAGTTGGTGGGATGAGGAAGTTAAGAGAGCCATAGCAAAACGTCAGGAAGCCTCTAGGAAACACAGACATGCTAAGCAGCGGGGTGAACCGACAGATGATGTTGAAAGAAAATGGGCAACCTTTCTAAGCTGTAGAAGGGATGCATCCCTTCTGATCAATGAAAAGATTAGAAGGAAGGGAGCTCAGTAGCTGGCAGAAGTACACAAAAAAGATAGAAAGGCAGCTGCAAAATTTTGCAACCCTCTAAACTCCTTAAGAAATGAGACGAGCCTAGAGCAGAGTTTTATAACTACAGCCCAAGGTGCTAGGCTGGAAGGGGACGAAGCTATTGAATATATAAGAACAAGGGTGACAGAAAAATTTCAACAAAGAAGTACTTTGTGCACCACAATAGACAAGGACGAATGAAGTGGTGCAGTGGCTCCATTTTCACAACAAGAGGGGGAAAGGGCTGAGAAAAGGGTTCCTAGTAGTATATCCACAGGCCCAGATGGCATTCCAAGTATGCTGATAAAGACATTAGGTCCGAAGTCTAAGCAGGCTTTGAGAGAGGCAGTGAGCACAATAATAATCGATGGTGAAGTTCCCGATGGATGGAAACTTATCAGGATGAGTATGATCTATAAAGGAAAGGGGGACAAAGCTGACATAAACAACTACCGTCCAATGACAGTGACATCAATGGTCTACAGGCTGGCGATGCAGATTATAAAGAAAAAACTGCAGGCGTGGATAGAGGATGTGGGGGTGCTGGGGGAACTGCAGAATGGGTTTCAGAAACACAGGAGGTTGGAAGACAATCTGTTCTCACTGACGCAGTGCATCGAAATAGCAGAAAAGGAAGACAGGCCCCTGTGGCTACCATTTTCGGATATCAAGGGAGCGTACGATAGCGTGGTTCAAGAGGAACTGTGGGGAATACTGGACACACTAGGCGTGGAACATGTAGTCACTAATATTTTAAAGGGTATCTATAAAGGTAACAAGGTCGTTATAAAGTGGGAAAAGCAGGTATCCAAGCCTGCAGAGGTAAAACGGGGGCTTAGGCAGGGGTGCCCCCTGTCACCCTTATTATTCATGATGTACCTACAAGGATTAGAGGCAAAATTAGAGGGAAGTGGACTGGGCTTCAACCTTTATTTAGTCAAACAAGGAAAACTTATTGATCAGGCACTACCAGCATTAATGTACGCAGATGATATAGTGCTAATGGCCAACAACAAGGAAGATCTGCAGAGATTGATGGACATCTGCGGTAATGAGGGAGATAGGTTACATTTTAGATTCAGTAAGGAAAAATCAGCAGTCATGATTTTCAATGACAACGAAGGTAGTGAGCTTAGAATACAGGAGGTCACGTTAGAGATAACAGATAAATACAAATATCTGGGCGTATGGATAAGCAATGAGACCGAGTATCTGAGGGAACACGAAATATACGTGACGACTAAAGGTAACAGGAATGCAGCAGTCATGAAAATTAGGGCACTGTGGAGTTACAATAGGTATGATGTTGTGAGAGGAATATGGAAAGGGGTCATGGT